AAAAACCGAAATAAACGATAAAAAAGTTCTGTACGCATTTTTTTAAATTTATTTTTACGTTCACAATGATTTGTTGCATTCATTTTATAAATAAAAACTATCGAGCATTAATTTTTATTTGACATTTTCCAAACTTCATCCTTTAAGCATGTTGTTACGATTCTATCAAATTTCAATGTTCCCTGTACACTTTAGTTTTGTATTAAAAAATTTCTCGTGTAAACGTGAAAAGTATCATCGATTCTCATTTTGAGATCATCGCGAAACATTGTGTGAATCGGGTTTCCTGCGAACCGGGTCGCCACTGTCGCTTTCGTTCACGAACTTCAGTGACTGTAGAACCGCCTTTTAAAACCAGCTGACAAGATGTTACGTCAGTTAGTCGGTAGCCGTTGCCATTGTCCATACAACTTTGTTGCTAGTGTCGGTTATGACAGGATTGTAAATTCGTGTTTTTTTGTGACTATTCCGTGTGCTTCGATAAATCATGTCTGATCTGGACGAATACTACATAAGTGTCCTTCGATTAGTGAAGGAAGCAGGCTCGGTAACTAACGTTTTCTTTGATGAAATTTAACGGAAGCAGCCGTGTAACTTGTTTGAAGTATCGAGTTATTCTTGGTTAATAGCGGGTTACGTTTATCGATTTTGCACGCAGCTTCGGATTTCAATCAAGTCGTTATCCAGCAAACATTCTGCTTTCGTTATAGACGCGCCATTCTAATAAAATTTCATGCAATATTAACGTAGCACTGTTCGATGTTTAGTGATGAATTTTAATGATTGTTTTGCAGTCATTTCGACGTGATATCAATACTGATGCAAACTTGATCGATGCAATCACGATCGATTAACGATATAAGATTATTGTTCTTTTAGTATATTGCGTCTATCTTTGCTAACATATATTTTTCGTAATAATGCTGCTAATTCATAGACGCGATTGTGTATTTGTTTGGTTTCCAGGAAGCGAATGCTTCAAGCTGGGTGAAATGATACTTCTGTCATGCTTTGTATTACGCCGATTCTATACGGCTTCTATACTTTATAACCTATAATTTTTAATGCTCGCGTATTGCAGGTGAACAGTAGTCATTTCACAATACCTGAATGAGATGAATAATTCAAATGTTGAATCATTGTTTATTTTTCAAACGAAACTAGATCAAGCCTTTAGAAACGGAACTTTTAGGAGCTATATAGTCATTATCTAAACACAATAAAACGAAGATACAGTTTCTA